GAGAGGCGGGGGTTGAAGGGACGGACCCGGGCTCTTCCTCCCAGTGCTTCCTTCCTCCACACCCGAATTGATGGTGATTGTTTGTGTTACTTGAGCCCAGCCCTGACCCAGGGCCCCTTGTGCCCGGCGCTGCCCAGACACGGAACAAAAGATGGTTCCTGCCCCCAAAGAGCTTTACAATCTAAGGAGGTGAGGGGCGCTGCTGGGCAGGTTGGAGGCGCTGGTGCTGCTGCCCCTCCTGTACCCAGGGTGTAACTCTGACATCTTTAACCTGCACCAAATGTTCTTACACCCCGAACAAACAAAAGCTCTGGCGAGGAGCACTTATACAGGAAGGGTTTCACTTTAGGTGCAGAATCATATGTATCTCTTTATCTTCTTTAGACTTCAATAAAAATTCTTCAGGGCAGCAGCTGCTTGAAGTTGCATCACACCTGCTGTAAGGTGCTCCCACCTTTTAAGCATCTGACTTGAGACTGGAGGGAAGCTTTTAATTCATTAATGCAAGACCTAAGCATTTAGCCCTTATGCTGTAGTTTTCTGGGCTTTACTATGTAGAAGCCAGGTTAGCAGTGTGGTTGATAGAAGGTTTGAGTTATGCTTGCCCTTGAAACAAAATTTAGAATTGTGTGGTAAGAACTGAAGATGTTTGTGGACTGTGAAAGGGTCCAGTACCATAATGACAGTCAATTCTGACAACATTAAATGATCAAATGGAGAGAGGAGGTTCCTTTCTAGCAGATTCTTGTGAAGTGGCTGATCAATTGGTCATAGCCATTGATGGAAACAGAATTTGTCCTGAAGAAGAGCGTAGCAGGGATTCCTGGGTCCTTTCAATATATGGATTTATACTACACTAATCATTGACACATCTAGGATATGTATTTCGTGTAATTTAGCTTTACCCTACAGCTGTTTTGTTAACTGTGGGACTGTTGTCTTATTGGTCAATACTGGTTTCTTTTGCGTTCAAAGTGAAGCGATCCAGATCTTCTCAGTGCTTGGAGGACCTGAGTTTAGTGCTTGCCTCTGATTCTGAGGAGTGCTGCAGAGGCAGATTTACTGGGTTTTCAAGGAAGAATGTCTTATTGTTGGGATTTTGAGCATTTCGGTAATGAGGCGTCTGCTAAGCATTGTACCTCTCAGATACTACTTCATGGTTACAGGACTTGGTCATAGGACTTGAAAGTACCTCCTTTGCAGTCTGTCTGTACCTCTTCTAAATCAATGGGTCACCAAGCAGTGATGTGCAATTCCCAGCCCTGACATTGCTTCCACGGCATTGTTAGATATATATATGCAACTTCAGGAAATAAGAAGTCTTAAGAACGTAATTGAATTCCACATTGCATTACTCTTCCGAGGGATGACATCTTTGTTAGATGCATGTTGTGGCAATTACTTTAAAGTGAGGTTAAGAGGACACACTGAACTGGACATACAAGAAACTAAACTAAAGCATTGAGCAGACTGAGTTGTAGGGAGGAATGAAACTGGGTGATTTGTTTAATGCTATTTCACAGTGTAAGGTTAAGAATTCAATGAATTCTGCCGCAGCTAGTGTCATGCTAGGCCAAACAGTGGGATTATTGAAGTTACCAGCTCATATCATCAGATGTTCTCTGTCTTCTAAGTGACAATAGCCAATTCAGTCCTGCAGGTTCCTTCATTGTGAATAGCGGGAGAAGGGAGCGTATTGACCACATCTGACTATCCACTGATCTTACCACCAGGGCTGAAACTGGCAGGAAATGTCACTGGTGATAGCATTGCTCAGAATCCCTTGTCAAACTGCTGCTGATGGTAAAGTAATATCTCTAACTTCTAGATCAACACTGAAGTTATACTAGCAATTAAAACAAAATCCCAGTTCAAATAATTTGTTAAATAATGCAAGGTTTACCTTTCTGTGGTTTTTAGACTGAGAAATACTTTTACAAGGTAAGTTTGCTCACTTTAAGGAAAGGTTGAAATGTCTATAGCAAAATTGCTTTGTCACATTTAGAAGGAACATACAATACTGTTAAAACAGATGATGTCCTGTTAAGAAGTTTGTAACAGACTCTGGAGTGTTTGGTAATTAAAACAATTGCCTTCTGGTTGGGTGAAGTACACTTTCCTTTCTGTTCCTAATGTAAAGAGACACTTAATAGTGTTACAGAGAAACACATTTGTTTGCACATACTAATAACTTAGATGAGTAAATGTAAAAAGTTTTTAAAATTAAATTTACCATGACTGTAACTTACTACTCTGACTTTTTTGCATTTTGATGAGGAAAATAGTCAGTTTTGCTTATACTTGTTCACTTCTAGGTTCTTCTCAGTACTGTAATATTTTGGCTTCAAACATTTTAGGGTCATAGATTCCAAGGCCAGAAGGGACCGTTGTTGTTATCTAGTCTGGCATCTTGTAAAACAGAGGGGCCATAAAACTTCCCCAAAATAATTCTTAAAGCATATCTTTTAGAAAAACATCCCATTTTGATTTAAAAATTGAGAGTGATGGAGAATCCACCACAACCCTTGGTAAATTGTTCCAATGATTAGTTACTCTGTTTTTTTTTTGTTTTTTTTTAAAAGTCTTATTTCTAGTGCCCTACCAAGTTAACAACCATGAAAAATGCATTGTGGACAGTGAAATCTGGCTAGTGTAGGAGAGGGGCAGGGCTGGGGGTGCCCCAGCCAACGACTCCTATCCAGCTGCTAATCTTGGCCAGGCTGGATAGGACGGGACTTCCTCGTCCTCTGCAAGGGCCCCTGCCCGTCTCCTACTGCAGCTGGGGGAGGTTCTTGGAGCTGGATTTGACCTGGGAGCAGCCTCTGCAGGGGAAGAGGAAGTCCTGTCCCTCCCCAGCCCCGCTGAGACTAGCGGCTGGAGCCCCATGTGCGGTAGGAGGCCCTGGCTGGTCACCCACCCATAAGGCCAACCCTGCCCCCCCAAAAGTGATGCCCCCCATGACCCCTCCACAGTAGCTTTGACACCCTTTTGGGTAGGGACCCCCACAGTTACAACACCCTGAAATTTCACATGTAAACATCTGAAACTGTGAAATTGACTTTTTTAAAAATCTTATGACCGTGAAATTGACCAAAATGGACTGTGGCTTGGTAGGGCCCTAGTTATTTCCAGTCTGAATTTGGCTAGCCTCAACTTCCAACCATTGGATCATGTTATACCTTTCTCTGCTAGAGTGAAGAACCCATTCTTAAATATTTGTTTCCCACTAGGTACTTATGGTTTGGACTTTATTCTGTTTGCCCATTATAAATGTAATCAAGTCACGAAGATTTGTACCTAAGCTACCATTAATTTTTAGTTCTGTGATCAGTTTCCCTTTGTTCTGTCAAGACTAGGTGGAAATTATCTGTAATATTTAGAAATGTCAAGGATGTTTTAGTACTGGCAGCATGAGATCTCAAGCATGTCATTCAAATTGAAGTCCCCCATGATCATGCATTTCTTTTATTCCTTACACATTACAGATAGGAGTGTTCATCCTGTTCCCTAGTGTGGTTTGATGCCCTATGGTAGACACCAGCTATTACCCCATCTTCTTTGTGTTAGGACATTGATCCATAAGCATTCAAGGTAATTTTCTTCTGAGTGATCAGTGACTCAGAAACAGATAATGCCATTTTTGACATAGAGTGGCACTCCCGCTCCCTTTTTGTCCACTCAGTCCTTCCTAAATAGGTTATAACCATTGATTTTAACATTCCAATAGTGCAAATCATCCCAGTGGGTTTCAGTAATACCAAATAGATCAAATATATGCTTTATAAATGAGCAATTCCAATTCCTTTTGTTTGTTATCCAGGCTCCTAGTATTGGTGTTTAGGCAATTAAAGAATTTCTTTTCTCTTATCCTTTGGTTCCTTGATTAATGCTATTCTTGACATCTTGAGTCTATCCTCAGTGAACGATCATATCTTCCCTCTTTTTACCCTCCGCTTTTGTTGTCTTTTTAATATCCTCCTGACATTTCTAGCCAACCTATTCCCAAGAGATGGTTTCCTCTTTTACTGGGGTGGAGGCCATCCAAACTATACAGCCTCCTCTCCCTATAGAAGGTAGACCAATGTTCCTCAAAACTCAAACCCTATACCACTTTACCTAGCCAAGTGGTTCATTTCAGGGTATGTTCATTTGTTTTTAAAGCAATTTTATTTTCATTTGTTGCTAAAAAATTTTTGAAGCATTTGTATTTGATTTAGATTTTATTAAAGATTGTTTTTATGAGTTTGACCAAGTTTAGACGATGCCCTTTTATTATGGATTCCTTGCTACTCTTTCATTTTTCTTTGATACTTTGTCTCACTGTTGATGTCATGTTCAGGTCTTTCTAAGTGCACCCCCATCTCGTGTTCGGTCTTTTTCCCTTATCTGTCTCGGGGTGGAATCTTGTGATGGTTAGACCGGGACTTAGTACGCTATACCAACTTCTTATTGCCCAGCAGGTCCAAGTGGGTTTTAGGCAACTGCATTTCTTCCCTTCAAGAACCTGTGATCAGTAATATTGACCAAGAGCCATCTTAAAACCAAGTGTTTTTATTTAGTAGCTTGAACAAAGCATTAGGCCTGGTCTGCACTACAAAGTTAGGTTGTGTCTGTGGGGAGAAGAGGCTGTGCAGGCACAGCTCCAATCCAGCTGTAGAAACATCGACATCTATGAGTAGATTGCTGGGGGCATGTAGGAGAAGGGCTACAAGAGGGACCAGCTACACTACCATGTGAAAGCCAAAGACTTGCACCAGAAGGCAAGGGCGGCCAGCGATCGATCTGGTGCAGAGCCACAGACCTGCCACTTTTACAAAGAGCTTCATGCCATCAGCAGAGACCTCACCACCACCTCCAAGAGCCTGGTGGATACTTCGGAGGAGCCCGAGTCACAGGCCCCTGCCATGAACAGCAAGGAGGAGGAAGTGGACAAGAAAGAGTATGGGGAAAAGGCAACTGGGGGACAGGCAACTGGGGGATCCAGCTGTGAGAGCCAGGACATGTGTTTTACTTCACCAAGCCAGTCCCGACAGTCGAGCACGGGCAATCCTGATGCTGAGGAAGGAACCTCTGGTAAGTATGTGGTTTGCTTTGAAATTACAGGGATGGAACCCCCAAAGTAGCAGGACAAATCTGTTGATTTACTCTTTTTACTTGTGCTAGAAGAGGTAGTGAAACAACCAAGAGAGGTAAAGTTGCTATCTGCATTTCATTTCCCTCTAGAGTTAGGCGCAGAGGGCTGTGTGGAGCAGTTGGTTTACGTGCACTGGGATGTCCTGTGAATCCTGCATAGAAATCTTGATTAAACTTTCATGGGGGTAGTCTGCAATCCTTTGCCGAAGGCTTCTTGGGAGGGCTGCCTTATTTCTTCCACTTCAGTAGGACGCTTTCCCATGCTACTCAGCGATGACTTCATTGAGCAAAAGAGCAAGGCCAGGCAGAGCACACTACAGCTACACACACCACTCTGGCTCGCTATTAAAATAGTCTTTCAAAGCCTCACTGAGCCATATAGCTCTGCACTGAGCTCTTCTTATAGCCCTTGTATCTGGCTGTTCAGATTCAGCAGACAGCTGCTCCATCTCTGCCCTCCACCCCAGTGGAAACTTTCCCCCTTGGCTTCACAGATGTTATGCAGGACACATCAGGCAGCTATTGCCATTGGGATATTTTTTTCCACTGAGGTCCAATCTCGTAAGTAGACGATGCCAATGAGCCATCAAATGGCCAAAGGCATATTCAGCTGTCATTCCACACCTATTGAGCCTGTAGTTGAAGTGCTCCTTGGTGCTGTCAAGTGGCCGGTGTACGGCTTCATGAGCCCTGGGGGAAAGGGGTAGGCTGAGTCTCCCAGGATCACTATTGGCATTTCAACATCCCCAATGGTAATCCGCCGGTCGGGAAAGACAGTCCCTGCTTGCATCTTTCTGAACAGCCCTTTGTTCTTAAATATGCTCATGTCATACACCTTCCCTGACCAGCCACATTGATGTTGGTAAAGCATCCCTGGTGATCCACCAGCACTTGCATAACTGTAGAACAGTAGTCCTTTCTATTGATATACTATTCGTTGGCAAGGTGGTCTGGTGCTAAAATAGGGATGTGTGTGCCATTTGTCGCCCCACTTCACTTCGGGAAGCCCATTGCTGCAAAACCATCCATTATGTCCTGCAGATTGTCCAGAGTCGCAGTCCTTCGTAGCAGGCACTTAATGGCCCTGTGCACTTGCATCAAAACAGCCCCCGCGGTGGGTATCCCAACTCCAAATTGATTCCTAGCTGACCAGTAGCAATCTGGCATTGCAAGTTTCCACAGTGCAATCACCACTTGCTTCTCAGCTGTTACTGTCTCTCTCATTTTGGTCTCCCTGTACTGAAGGACTAGGGTGAGTTCGGCATGCAAATCCAGAAATGTGGCCTTGCGCATCCGAAAGTTCTGCAGCCTCTGCTTGTCATCCCAAACTTGCATGCCAATGCGATTCCCACCAGTCAATGCTTGTTTCTTGGGCCCAGAACCAGCACTCAACCATCTGCAGCTGCTCCCTGAATGCTGCCAACAACCATGAATTATTTGTTTCTATGTCCCACAGCAACCTAGCCTCCAAGGAATCGTCATGTTCCCCATGGCTTCTGTTGCAGCTCTGCAAATACTGCAGGATCAGGCAGCCCATTCTTGCAAAGCTCATCACAATAGTGCAGAGCTGTGCAGGATCCATGTTTCTGTCACAGATGGCAAACAGCAAGGAGTGACGTGTGGATTTGCGGGGATTTTTGAAGAGGCACTAAATATTATGGGATGGAGAACACTGCATTATGAGAAGTTGAATCCATGCTCCCAGTCACCCCTGCATGACTCATTTTGTCCCATGGGGCATTGCAGAAACTTCCCAAAACACCCTGTGCTGGATGGTGGTGAATTGCACAGTGGGATAGCTACCCAGAGTGTATTGCACTCTGCATTGATACAAGCACTCCTAGTGAGGAGGCGCACCGCTGACACAAGGAGCGTAGGGTGGACACGCACAAACGCTGTAATAAATGCAGGGACTGTATGCTGCCATTACATAGGTCGACATAATTTTGTAGTGAAGAGATGACCCTTGAGGAAGATTTTAAAACCAAGAGCCTAGATGCACATTAGGGTTTGTCTCCATTTAAAAAGCTACAGTGGCACAGCTAGACACTACCTTCACTGATGGGAGAGAGGGGTTCTCCTGCCGTTATAGTTAATCCACCTCGCCAAGTGGTGGTAGTTAGGCTAATGGAAGAATTCTTCCATCGACCTAGCTCTGTTTATGCCGGGGGTTAGGTCTGCATTGCTGCACCTCTCACGAGTGTGGAACATTCACACCCCTGAGAGACGCAGCTATCTATGCTAATGTAAGTTCCCAGTGTAGACCAACCCTCAATTAGGTTATATCTACACTAGAGACCTTACAGCGAGACAACTGTACCATTGCAGCTGCACCTCTAAGGTCTCCCATGTAGCCGCTCTATGCTGATGGGAGAGAGCTCTCCTGTCGGCATAATTAAACCACCCCAACGAGCAGCGGTAGCGATGTCAGTGGGAGAGCATCTCCCGCTGACATAGCGCTGTCCACACTGGCACTTCTGTCAGTGAAACTTATGTCACTTGTGGGGGGAGGGAGGATGTTTTTCATACCCCCGCCTAATAAAAGTTTTTACTGACAAAAGTGCTAGTGTAGACATAGCCTTAGATCAGTGGTCTCCAACCTTTTTACACCCAAGATCACTTTTTGAATCTAAGGGCAACCCAGGATCTACCCTGCCCTGCTCACCCCATCCCCCCTTCTCTCCATCGCTCACTCTCCCCCAGCCTCACTCACTTTCACCGGGCTGGGGTAGGGAGTTGGGGTTTGGGAGGGGGTGCGGGCTCTGGGCTGGGGCCGAGGGGTTTGCAGTGTGGGAGGGGGCTCTTGGCTGAGCCTGGGTCAGGGGGTTGGGGTGCAGGAGGGGGTGAGAGGTGCAAGCTCTAGGAGGGAGTTTGGGTGCAGGAGGGGGTACAGAGTGCTGGCTCTGGGAGGGGGCTCAGGGCTGGGGCTTGGGGTGCAGGAGGGGGTATGGGGTTTGGGTTCAGCCTCCTATCGGGCAGCACTTACCTCCAGCAGCTCCCAGTCGGCGGTGTGTGCAGCTAGGCTAAGGCAGGCTCCCTGCCTACCCCACCCCCACACCGCTTCCAGAAGGGACCAATGCGGGGCGAGGGTCACATGGCTCCACGCGCTGCCCCTCTCTGCAGGCACCATCCCTGCAGCTCTCCCGGCCAATGGGAGCTGCGGGGGCAGTGCTTGCAGGCAGGAGCAGCGCGTGGAGGGAGACCCTTGCCTGCTCCCCCTCCCCCCCCCAGCTGCGGGGCTGCATTAGCCACTTCCCGGAGCAGCGTGTGGCCGGGGTAGGCAGGGAGCCTGCCTTGCTGCCAGAGATCATGATTGACTGGGAGATCCTCTAGGATCGAGGAGTCAATCAAGATCGACCAGTCGGTGATCACTGCCTTAGATGGACTTACCTCTCATGTTACTAGAGCAGGCTGGAGCCATTAGAGCTAATCACTCTGGCATTGTCTCTTAATGACCATTAAGTGGAAGTCATTATTAGAAGGGGTTTCCTGTCTCTTTCCTGAGGTGGATAGACTCTACTACCCAGACAGACCTCTAGGGAGAAATATCAATTTCCATGTATGGTATGGAAACACTCAGCTAGTGAGAGATCCAAATACAATATTATTTATTAAACAGCACCCCCACATTTGTCACTTGGTTTTCTCTAAAACTCGTACTAAATTATTTTCCTGTGTCCTGGCTTTTACAGTCCTGTTTCCTGCCTCTAGTACTTAGTTCAGGGGTAGGCAACCTATTGGCACGCATACCGAAGGCGGCACGCGAGCTGATTTTCAGTGGCACGTGAGCTGATTTTCAGTGGCACTCACACTGCCCGGGTCCTGGCCACCGGTCCGGGGGGCTCTGCATTTTAATTTAATTTTAAATGAAGCTTCTTAAACACCTTAACCCTTTTTTAAACACCTTTTTAAAAACCTTATTTACTTTACATACAATAGTTTAGTTATATATTATAGACTTATAGAAAGAGACCTTCTAAAAATGTTAAAATGTATTACTGGCACGCAAAACCTTAAATTAGAGTGAATAAATGAAGACTCGGCGCACCACTTCTGAAAGATTGCCGACCCCTGACTTAGCTGTTGGGTGGGGGTGGGAGAGAGATTCATTCATATGTATCTTATTGTTTTTACATTAGAGTTTGCATAGATTTTAAATAATAACTGGGGCTGCCACATGTATATTATGCTTGGCACATTTGAGTAAATTTGCCCAGTGCTATCTGTTGGGGGGGTGAATATAGGGTGACCAGATGTCCTGATTTTATAGGGACAGTCCCGATATTTGGGGCTTTTTCTTATATAGCCTCCTATTACCCCCCCACCCCCACCCCAGTCCCGATTTTTCACACTTACTGTCTGGTCGCCCTAGGTGAATATGCATTAATACTTGAAGGCTTGCTGAAGGTTTTTGTGCTTAGTAATTGAATGGAAGTATTGTTCTGTGTAACTCCAGGCAACTGCCAGAGCATTAAAGATACTAAATGCTATGTGTCAAACTTCAGTTTTTCAAATGTCAAGATTTAAAACTATAAACTTGCATCAAGAAGCTGAGAGATCTCCAACCTGAGAATGAGTGAACCAAGAGTGAAGAATCCTGCATGTGGTTTACTGTTACTTGGCTGTGGGGTATGGTGTGAGGTAATGAGGCTAAGGAAAGTTATAGGAGGATGTTCTGCAGTCTAATTAAAAATATAAGTGTATCGTTTACATTGTAAACAAATGTGCAATGAATGTTTGCATAATTGCTCAAGGTGGGATAAAGAATTTATCCTCTTTTCTCAATGACTTATAGAATCGTAGACTTGGCGCTTCTTTTGTTTACCCTCATGGCTGACTGACTTTTCTGATATTTTTTTTTCATTTTTGTGCTGGGAAATCCCCATAGGGCAGATTTTCATGAAAATGTAGCATGGTTGTACATCACCAAAGAGAAGCAGGGGAAATGGTTATCCTGTGTCTACATGAGTTATGAAAGATTTTTTTTTTAAAAGAGTTGGTGAATATGGAATCTTAACACATCTGCTTTTCCTTGCAGTGTCTCAAGAGGAAAGATCTGTTTTGTGTAGCAATAATTGGTTTCCACAGAGCTGTCCCAATGACAGAGCTATCTGCACACCTACCTCAGTTCCAGCATGGGCAGCTGACAGAAAACTTCCCTGACAACCACCTGAGCAATACTGTAAGTAACAAACTACTTCATCAGGCAATCAGCTTGCAAATACCTAGAAGATAATAAGGTGATAAGTAACAGTTAACATGGATTCATCAAGAGCAAATTGTGTCAAACCAACCTAATAGCTTTCTTTGACAAGGTAACAAACCTTGGGTATAGGGGGGGAAGCGGTAGATGTAGTATATCTTGGCTATAGTAAGGCTTTTGATACTGTTTCACATAATCTCATAAACAAACTAGGGAAATACAACCTAAATGGAGCTACTATAAGGTGAGTGCATAACTATTCACCTCATACAAGTACCATAATGCAATCTCTTTATTGTGAAAGTGCAACTTACAAATGTAAGTTTATTTTGTTACATAACTGAACTCAAAAAAACAAAACAATGTAAAACTTTAGAGCCTACAAATCTACTCAGTCCTACTTCTTATTCAGCCAATCGCTAAGACAAACAAGTTTGTTTACCTTTACAGGAGATAATGCTGCCGGCTTCTTATTTACAAAGTCACCTGAAAGTGAGAACAGGCGTTCGCATGGCACTTTTGTAGCCGGCATTGCAAGGTTTATGTGCCAGATATGCTAAACATTTGTATGCCCCTTCATGATTTGGCTACCATTCCAGAGGACATGCTGATGCTTCCATGCTGATGACGCTCGTTTAAAAAAAAAAAAAAAAAGTGTTAATTAAATTTTGACTGAACTCCTTGCGGGAGAATAGTATGTCTTTTGCTCTGTTTTACCCGCATTCTGCCATGTATTTCAGATTATAGCAGTCTTGGATGATGACCCAGCACATGTTGTTCATTTTAAGAACGCTGTGACGGATTCGGTCACAGAGACCCCCTTGGGACCGTCACCTGACGTGCTGGAATTACCTCTGAGCCCGTTTTCCCTACCAGCTTGGGACTCCAGAACCCTGCCTTGTTGAGCCAGACACTCTAGCCTGCTGCAACACAGACCCAGGTCTGGTCCACGCCCCCAAAGCTGCAGACTTTAACCAAAAACTGCTCAGCAGGTTTCCTATCTCCAGCACCCAGACACCCAGCTCCCAATGGGATCCAAACCCCAAATACATCCGTTTTACTCTGTATAAAGCTTATTCAGAGTAAACTCATAAATTGTCTGCCCTCTATAACACTGATAGAGAGAGATGCACAGCTGTTTGCTCCCCCAGGTATTAATCATTTACCCCTGGTTAATTAATAAACAAAAGTGATTTTATTAAGTATAAAAAGTAGTATTTAAGTGGTTTCAAGTAATAACTGATGGAACAAAGTAAGTCACCAAGCAAAATAAAACAAAACATGCAAGTCTAAGCCTAATACATTAAGAAACTGTTTACAAGTAAATCTCACCCTCAGAGATGTTCCCATAAGCTTCTTTCACAGACTAGACTTTTTCCTAGCTGGGCCCAATCCTTTCCCCGGCACAGTCCTTGTTAGTTCCAGCAGGCATCTTAGGTAAAAAGCAGGGGCTTTCTCATGACTGGGACCCCCCCTTGTTCTGCCCCACCCCCTTTTTATACCTTTGGCCCAAGGCGCGAACCCTTTGTCTCTCTGGATTCCCACCCCTCCTCCTAAATGGAAAAGCACCAGGTTTAAGATGGATTCCGGTATCCTGTTACATGGTCACATGTCCTGTGAGACGTCATTCTTCCAGGGCTGGCCCACACATACCCAGGGAGATTTGCAAGTAAACAAAGCCATTTACAACTAATTGTCCTAATCAGTGGGAGCCATCAAGCTTCCAAACCACCATTAATGGCCCACACTTTGCATAATTACAGTAGGACCTCAGAGTTATACTTCATATTTCTAGTTTCAGATACAAGAATGATACATACATACAAATAGGATGAACACACTCAGTAGATTATAAGCTTTGTAATGATACCTTACAAGAGGCCTTTTGCATAAAGCATATTCCAGTTGCATTATATTCACACTCATAAGCATATTTCCATAAAACACGTGGAGTGCAACGTCACAAATGCTTTCACTGCAAATTTGACAAAACGCAAAGAAGGTACCGATGTGAGATTTCTAAAGATAGCTACAGCACTCAACCCCAGGTTTAAGAATCTGAAGTGTCTTCCAAAATCTGAGAGGGACGAGGCGTGGAGCATGCTTTCAGAAGTCTTAAAAGAGTATCACTCTGATGTGGAAACTACAGAATCTGAGCCATCAAAAAAGAAATTCAACCTTCTGCTGGTGGCATCTGACTCAGATGATGAAAGTGAACATGTGTCGGTCTGCACTGCTTTGGATCGTTATCGAGCAGAACCCATTTTCAGCATGGACTCGTGTCCTCTGGAATGGTGGTTGAAGATGAAGGGACATACGAATCTTTAGCGCATCTGGCACGTAAATATCTTGCAATGCTGGCTACAACAGTGCCATGCGAACGCCTGTTCTCACTTTCAGGTGACATTATAAACAACAAGCGGGCAGCATTATCTCCTGCAAATTGTAACCAAACTTGTTTGTCTGGCTGAACAAAAAGTAAGACTGAGTGGACTTGTAGGCGCTAAAGTTTTACATGGTTTTATTTTTGAATGCAGTTATTTTTTTGTACATAATTCTACATTTGTAAGTTCAACTTTCATGATAAAGAGATTGCACTATAGTACTTGTATGAGGTGAATTGAAAAATACTATTTGTTTTTTACAGCACAAATATTAATAATAAAAAATAAATATAAAGTGAGCACTCTAAACTTTGTATTCTGTGTTGTAATTGAAATCAGTATATTTGAAAATGTAGAAAATATCCAAAAATATTTAAATAAATGGTATTCTATTATTGTTTATCAGTGCGATTAATTGTGATGAATTTTTTTAATCGCTTGACAGCCCTACTTTATATGCTTGCATTCTATCCACAGTTTTCATGCAGTGTATTGTAAATGGTGTCGTTTAGATCCTTGCTGCTGAAGCTATATGACAGTAAATAGTACAGTGTACATTCCCCACTCCATAGCCTCCTTGGCCTAGCATACAGAACACAGGTTGCAAACAGATGCTTATGGAAATGGGATTATTTATCTTGCAGAATGACAGTGAGAGGCGACGCCATGATAATAGTGAGCGAAGGCGCAATGATAACCCTGAATCAGAGACTAATGGGCAGCCACAGAATAGGACGCAGCAAGTGGTGGAACAGGACGAAGAAGATGAGGAGTTGACATTGAAATATGGGGCAAAGCATGTGATTATGCTCTTTGCACCTGTCACACTTTGCATGGTGGTAGTTGTTGCAACCATCAAGTCTGTCAGCTTTTATACACGCAAGGATGGACAGCTGTATGTACCAAATCTTCTGTTTTTTTGTATTGTCTTTGTTGGTTTGGGTCTTCTGGGGATCCTTTCCTTTACTATATGTCTGCACATCTTCAAGTGCCTATATTATACAATGACCTTTCCTCCAGCCCAAGCCCTGGCTTAATGCTGGTCCTTCTGGAGTCCAGCAGCCCTACTTTCAGCATTGTTTCCAGCTCCTGTCAGCCTGGAGACTGATCCAGACTGGTTTCTCCTACCAGATCAGCCCAATTTTTCTTGTGCTTGCATAAGTTAAAGGACTTACCATGGTGAAACCTGAAGTTTCTCTTTGCTGCTTTGCCAATAATTTCAACTCTCCCTTGTAGAAGCACCTCTCTCAAGATAATTTGTTCACCATTACTTTCATCTGAATCCTGGCCTTTGACTGAATAGTTTGTGCCTCTTGTATGATGTTTACGTGATATGGACTTCATTCTGAGCACAGGCCATGAAAATTGCACTCCCTTAGAAATTAAATCTTCATTAGCGATGCAAAATGAGAGCTTAATGAACATCCATATGTATGCAGGGTTCAGGTTTGTTTATGGTGCTTGTTGACAAAGAAATAAATACATTAGCAAGAGTTGTCCAGAGATTTTCCAACTAAATTTTTCAATTTCAACAGATCTGCATTGTCCGATGGAAAAACATTTTGTGGAAACATGCTGAATTTAACAAAAATTCATTTTTGGAGGAAAAAACCTGACACAGCTTTTTGATAATGTCACATGTTTGATTTCTGGCTTCAAAATAGATATTGCAAAAAAATTTAAAATGTTAAGATCAGAATGAAACATTATGTGATCTGAAATTACTATTTTTTAATTTAATTACGTTAGGAAGTCTTAACATTTTGGTTTTGTTCTGTTTTGGAATAGATTTTTTTTTTTTTTTTTTAACTCATGGAATTTCCCACAGAACAGAAAATCTTATTCCTCCCCTGCTCTACTCATTTTTATCTTCAGGTTGCGTTTTATTGAATATCCACTAGATGGTGTATGTACAAAGGCCCAAATATACTTAGTGTGATCTAATTCACATTTACTTGCATGCTATAAATCAGGAGTTCTCAAACTTCATTGCACGTGACCCCCTTCTGACAACAAAAATTACTACATGACCCCAGGAGTGGGGACTGAAATCTGAGCCCACCCGAGCCCCACTGTCCCGGGTGGGGGGACCAAAGCCGAAGCCCAAGGGCTCAGCCCAGGGAGCCTGTAATCTGAGTCTTGCCACACAGGTCTGAAGCCTGAGGGCTTTGGCCCCGGGCCCCAGCAAGTCTAACGCCAGACCTGGTGACCCCATTAAAATGGGGTCACAACCCACTTTGGGGGCCCAACCTACAGTTTGAGAACCGCTGCTATACATAAAATAGTTTTTAAATGTTGGTTGCTCTCTTATTAAGCAGAAAATAACTCTCACTTTTGTAACTTTAATTTGAAAGATAAGTACTGAGATGTCAAGAGGGAAATTGGCTTTAAATATCTACATATTGATCCTGAGCTTTTATCTAGAAAACATTTATGTGGAATATGTATTGGAATTTCATTTCTTCTTTTGGTCTGTATTGTAGTATCTACACTCCGTTCACTGAAGACACAGACACTGTGGGACAGAGAGCCCTGAACTCTATTCTCAATGCTGCCATCATGATCAGTGTCATCATTGTCATGACCATACTCCTGGTTGTGCTTTACAAATACAGGTGCTATAAGGTGAGCACAAATGCAGTTAACCTTGGTAATTAATCCTGCTAACCTTCTTTTATTTCCTGAAATGTATTGTCAGGGAAAGAGCAATCGTGATTAATTAAACTGGCAGCACAGATGTTCACTCCTTTAGTTTTTGGAGCCTTGTTCCCCATATTGGGAGGGGAATGGACAATTTATTTTATCAGATAGTACATAGTCTTTGTGGACAAGGCATGACCTTGGCATTGCCAATAATAAAATGCACTTCAACAGCAATTTTTGTGTGTGACGGTATGTCACCTGAGATCAGGACTCAAAAATATATAATGGTATTATTGATGGGAGCTCAAACTTAATCTAGGTGAGGGTCACATCAACTTGCTAGAACCTGCAGTCTCCATATGTCAAAGCTCCATGTTAAAGCTGCTGGTGTGGGCTGCTTTTGGCCCAGTGATTGTTTTTTTCTTTAATATTCAATAAAGCAGGATGTGGAATAACAATGATATACTGTCTTTTAGTCAGACCCTTGAGTATCTGTGTTATACAGTCACAGAATTTGCCTTAAAATTCACTCCTTGCCGCAAAATTTAGTTCCAGCTTCTGTGATTTTTTGGGAGGAGTTTCTAACCTGCATGGATGCAATGAAAAAAAGTCTTTTGAAAATGTCGCCACATTGTGACATCTGCCTGAGTCTGCAGACACTCTGGAACAAGATTTATGAGGTGTTAACTTCCCCATCTATCACAATGGGGGTATTGACTCAAAAACCTAACAATGATAGTTTAAAATAGATATTTAAATTATTTCACTGCTGATCATTTTAGTAGAAGCAGCCAACTGATGTGCTTAAACCCACAATCCCAAACTGTTTCTTGGGCCTCCCCAGATGCCAGAAGCCTCACCTGTGCTTACCAAGCTGCCAAAACCTCTAGCTTCCCCTTGGCCATTTCTACAGTGCAGTTGTGCACTGTCATTACAAAAATCTTTGGCACATCAGAAAGTGAATATGTAGACTGCATAAAACTAAATTTAATGACAAAATAAATATTGGAGCTTTGCTAGTGATTTTTGCTTCATGGAAAGTGTTGAATTTTTTAATTTAAATGAGGCTAACACAGTATCTCCAGGCCGCTGCACTGAAGTGCTGCAAAATCCAGGCACCCAGTTGCTGAACATAAATCTAATTTTCTGCTGGGTATGTAGAGAATCACGGTTAGTTTACATTTCAGTGAACAGAAACAAACTTCTAGCTAAAGAATATTTGACATCCCAAATGGTGGCAGTATGGTATCTACTTTGCTCATTTGTAGTGCCTTTCATTCAGGCATTATGTCTGGGAAAACGCCTTTGAGGTAGGGAAAGTATTGTCCCAATTTTCCAACTGAAGAAATTGAGGCCCAAATGTGAAGTGTCTTGCATGAGGTTACAGAATAAATCAATAGTAGAACTGGTCCTGATTTCAGATTCTGATTCTAACCATCAGAAATCACACCTTCTAAGCTTGTCTGAGTAGCTTCTCTTATTCTTTCATGTATTTTTATTTTTGCCTTAATTCCCTCATGTTTTCAGTCTGTCTAAGCAAATTCTTTTACTGCCAGAGCTCCAGATTTAATTCCCTGTATTTTGCAAACCTTGGCAACTCACTTTTATTCAGGTTTTAGCAGGCAAGCTGACTCTGTACCAACAAATCAGTTAGTGTAGGAGCCATTGTCAGGTGAGACATGGGAATGTTTTAATCAGAAGTCTAGAAACTTGCCAAGACATGTTATGAAATATGTTGGATAACACTTGTCTTTCACATGAAGTGTGTTGAGAAACTTCTATGAGAAAAGGACAGGTGGTTTTGAAAACCATTTAGTGTTTGAAAAGCCATGTAATGTGAAGAACACACATTACTGGGGTGGAAAGTGTTGTGATACCTAACTGAAACAATTAGGTGTATCAGTGAGGCTACTCACGGTAGTTAAGCACATGTAAGTGTTGCAGGATTGGGGCCTTAGAGCAGTGGCTCTCAACCTTTCCAGATTACTATATCCCCTTCAGGAGTGTGATTTGTCTTGCGTACCCCCCAAGTTTCACCTCACTTAAAAACTACTTGCTTACAAAATTAGACATTAAAAATACAAGTGTCACAGCACACTATTACTGAAAAATTGCTCGCTTTCTCATTTTTACCATATAATTATAAAATAAATCAATTGGAATATAAGTATTGTATTTAGAGCAGCATAAACAAGTCATCTGTATGAAATTTTAGCTTGTACTGACTTCGCTAGTGCTTTTTATGTAGCATGTTGTGTAAAACTAGGCAAATATCTAGGTTAGTTGATGTACCCCACAGAAGACCTCTGTGTACCCATGGTGGAGAACCACTGCCTTAGGGTTATGCACTTTTTGGCATTTGTTCAGTAGAGCAGACCTGCTCTTTGCTAGAATGGGACATTAGTATTCAGGCACACTGTACCTCCAGGTCTCTTCTCTTCCTAGCGAGTGGGACAGTTTTCTTTGGAGTTTTCTTATTGCTAATGTGTGTTTCTTTTAACAATAAAGTTATGTCATCTTGTCCATCAAAGTGACCTGAAAAGATTTTGTTTTTAAAAACAAAATCCACTCTTTCACTCTATCAGAATGTATGTGTAGCCAACACGGTATTTGTAAAGCTGATCCCCCAACTTCAGCGTTCTTCCCCTTGTAACCGTTGGTGGTGACAGAAATGTGACGTCTTCCCTGCCCAACAGCATTTGAAAACAGAATGCTTAATGCAAAGGAGAGAGCTGCACAGCCTTTATTCTTTGAGAAGGCTCTCTCAGCTATAGAGGCCAACCTGTGAGGTTACCCAGGCTTGCCAACAAGTCTTGTTACATGGAGGTTTTTTTGTAAACTGGGATAAATCGTGAAGGATGTCCCAGAGGAAGAGAAGGAAAGTGGAAGAGATGCTGCAGTGGCCTCTGACCACGCTTTAAAAAAAAAAAAACATTTAAAACATATATGAAACTTGACTCTTGTTTGTTAGAAGGTTGTTGCTGTTTCATGTAAGTAAAATAAATACTAGTGAAACAGAAATAATCTCTACAAGGTAAAACATTAAATTTCATAAGAAGTTTTTATTGTTTTTAAAAATGTTTAAAATCCAATATAAACCCTTCATAGGGAGGGAAATAAGGAGAAAAACAAAGCTCCAGATCAGAAAGATTGAGTTCTCTTGGATGTATAGTTGTTTTGAGCAGTAAATTCTGTTCTGAATCTGACTTCAACACAGGAAGAATTTTTGTGCCATTTTACCCAGTTCAAACAAGTACTAAATTACTGCTTCTGAATTGTTTATCTACAAAGAACTTTAATCTAGTTGTGGGGTCCGTGTGTTAGCTTGTGTGTGAGGTTCCTTGTCTAGAGGAAAAAATATTTCTTTATATTTTATGTATTTCATATCCCAGTGCACCTCAAAGGTACTCTTCTTAAGGCCAGAACTTGCCCAAAGTCTTTAACAGGTTGGAGTTTTTGATTTTCTTACAATTCTAGGAATCTGTTTTTCTGAAGAGACTGTCCATTCCCCTCCTTCATTCGTTTTTGAAAGATCTCTTCTATTACTTTTTTCCCTAGACTTTTGTATGATTTTCTACCAGTTCGATGTGGCATTTCAGAGCTTTGTTTTTTGTAATCTGGTACTTAGGAAATCTAGCATATTGTCTTTTTGCAGCCTGTCAGTTCAGACATGATCATAGTTATAGGACTTTCCAAATTCTCTTCAATCTTTGTTTTTAGTCTGGAACATTAGTATGAAGGACTAGTCCCAAAGTATTCTCACTCCTTAAAACAAGGTTTGATTATTTTTTTCTAATGTAACTTTTTTTTTTTGTAAAATTCATGTAGGTCTTGCTAGACTTTAATCTCAAAACACTGTTGTCTTCTTGATATACATGGTGACGTATCAAATTGTGTAATGTGTATAGGCCACACTATTAGGTGTTTTTTATTGCATATGAAGGGCAAATACTAAAGCTGCTTACATTCATTATTCATTCATTCCTTACGTGATGCCTTGTGTTAATTCTAGTTGATTTTAATATGCTAGAATTCATAAATAAAACACTTTGACATTGTACTTTATCCGTAAGGTTACACATAGATTCTGCTAATGATTTGGAAACTGGGCTGTTCATTTCTTTAAATAATAGAAAAATTAATAGATGTTTTTCATGTATTTTACAATGCAGTATATTCTACTTTGACATCAAGCCAACATTATCAAAGTGCTGTAAGTTAATATGCCAAAAATACTTTGCACTTGTACAGCACCTTTTATTCAAGGATCCTAAAGCAATTTACGATGGTTGGTTAAGTAGTGTCCCATTTTATAGATGCGTAAACTCAGGCACAGAAGTAAAGGGACTAGCCAAAAATCAATATATCAGTAGACAGTAAGGTATGGAGCCAAAGACTTCTGAATCTCAGTCCCTTGCTCTTACCACCAGGTATTAATATTTTCCTCTTGGAGAGGCTGGGGGCTGTAAGTGGTACTCTGAAAATGGGCTCAGATATTGCTGTATCTTCTGCTTATGAAACTGAACCTTTTTTTTAAAAAAAAAGGCATTTTTGATAAAGATGTACCGGTAATTTAACTTTAAAATGTCAAGTTTGAAATGGAGATGTTTGTTGATGTGTCTTCCTCTTTCAGGTGATCCATGGCTGGCTTATAATTTCTTCTCTATTGCTGCTTTTCTTTTTCTCATTCATCTACTTGGGGTAAGTCTACAAGAGTTTCAACTTCAGAATTTGTCTTCCAGACAGTCTTTGTCTCTTCACCATAAGCATATGTAAACAGTTGCCCTCGTGTCACCATGGTAATTGGTAAGGGTCAGCCATGCAAAGAGCGTTTATTTGGGAACAGTCTAAAAGACTTAATCTACTGAAAGGAATCTGCTCTGCCACCGATACACACTTCTATTCTATCTAATGGAAGTTATGCACTTGCATCTACAGCAGAATAGACCCATGTTTCAAGGTTTTGTACTTGTCCTGTAAGTCAGATCCTGAAGCAGCACTTCACCACCTCATCAGGCATGGCCATTTAGCAGCATTCTGTGCCAGCAGCATGCTTGAGCACTGATTTTTTCGCAGGCCAGTGGAAGTTACCTATGACTTGGAGAAAATATACTTGTTCCCTGCAAGGTAGTTTTTCCATTCATTGTATTCAGTAATCTCTCCTATCTGATTGAGGAACTTAGCTCCATCCTCAAAGGGAGATTTTTACTTTCTGGTAATGGTGGGCAGCTATAATGGTGGTGCAAACCCCAAACACAATCTTACAGTCAGCATGCTTTTCTTAGCCCTGAGTTAGCACTAGGATTTCATCCAGAAGGACAAAGATGAATGACGAACCCCAGGCTTATATTCCTGGAGAGCCATCGTAACTTTAAATTTCTTAGATATATTTATTTCACAGAATATTTTGTTCTCTTAATTTAAAAAAATTCAGTTCATTGGGGCCCAGGACAATGTCTGATCAGCTGAAGCATTCACACTACATCCTCTTTCCCTTGCACGGTTGACACAGTGGTACTACGTGTCTAGTTGATATTCCAGGTAGCTAAAAGAGCCATTTGTATGCCAGGAAATTATTTTTTTGAAATTTTACTTACAAAATGGAAGACCATCTATAGGTTAATCAACTACTTTGCATTGATGTCCTGTGCTGGCAGCTTTTTGATCTGTGACTGAGAAGGAAACAAGAGGGTCAATGGAAGGTTGTACTGCAGAAAACTGAATTAGTAAACCTAAAATAGTTTAAATGAAACACTCCCTGTAAAACTACCTCTTCCTCAAAAAGCAAACTGTTTCTTTGAGTCCTTGTCAGATCTAATTAAGATCTAATAAAAGAACAACTTTGTCAAAATACATGAAGTGTAGAGTTTTAAAATCTAATTCTCAAGTTTGCCTTCTTTGTTTTTTGCCATTGCTTTAGGGAAACAGATGCCTGTTTTCTTTATCTAATCTCCTTTTCTTAAATGTTTTAGTGAGGTTTTTAAAACCTATAACGTTGCCATGGACTACATTACCCTCGCGCTCATGATCTGGAACTTCGGTGTAGTGGGAATGATCTGCATTCACTGGAAAGGCCCGCTCCGGCTCCAGCAAGCATATCTCATTATGATCAGTGCTCTCATGGCCCTGGTATTCATTAAATACCTTCCTGAATGGACTGCGTGGCTTATCCTAGCTGTGATTTCAGTATATGGTAAGATCCTGAAAAAAGCATAATACCAGCAATGATGATAGCGTGCCCTCTTCCTACTTTCACTTCTTCCATCTGTTTGACCAGACATAAAACCCAGGGTCCAAACACAGGCAGGGCAAGGGTTTTGCTTCAATGTCTTACTCAAATTCCAGGGACCAGATTGGGAGTGGAATTGGGGTAGTACAAGGGAGGAGAGGATAGGCTTGAGACCCATATTGTAGTCCTCCTTCTGGTCTCATTGACGATAACTCTTGTGTCTCCCTCTCCCTCAAGGGCCTTTGGGAGCTATTGCATTTCCAGAGTGAAGCAGTTCCTTGGGAGGCTGGAGCCACATCCTGGGTACAAGGGCTTCAGGTGGATAGCTGTGGCCTCCCTAGGGTCCTCCAGATACCAAGGGGGCCAGTCCATCCCCTGACAAGAACAGGGTAATCTCAGAAATTCCTCTAGGAGTTTTCCTTAGGAAAAAGTCCCTTCACACAGGAGGATCTAGTCATGGCACAGTTAAATACTCTCCCACAGTTCAGATCGGTATAGTAGTAATTTCCTTTTCTAGACTATCATACGTTATGTTTCATCCCAGAGAAGGCTGCAATAAACTATATCTAGAGATCACATAACCCATCTCAGTTATCATACACTTGTAAAGGGCACTGAAGCCCTTCCGTAGGAGTGGTACTCTGTATTTTATGGTTTTCATGATCTTGCTATAAGGGCAAATGTGTCTCAAAGACTGATTTAGTTTACATAATAGGCCAGAATATCTAAGGTTACGGCTACGCGACAAGCTAGGAATGTGATTTCTCCTGCTTGTGTACACGTTCGAGCTAGCGCGAGTATAAGTAGCAGTGAAGCCGTGGTAGCATGGGTAGTGGCAGCAGAGGCTGAGCTGTGCTGAGCACATAACCCCTCAGCCATACCTCCGCTAGCCGTGCTACACTGCTATTGATACTCATGCGATCAAGACAAGAGCTAGCGCAAGCATGTGTTTGTGATCACACCCCTAGCTCCTAGTGTATAATTTAAATTTCTTATAGCGAAGAGGAGGATCAATGCAAACTTACTCGTAAAGAATTTGAATTAATTTGGAAACGCAGAAGTGAATTTTATCTGCAGATAGACACGAAATCTGAAATTCCCTGATGATGGGAAAGGTGAGGGTCTGTTTTTTTCCCCTCCATATTTGTAGAAATACAAGATTAATCAGACTTGATTAGCCCTTTGTCCATCTTGGGCCAGTATTGTCCTTAGGTACCTGATGCCTCGGAAGAGGGTGAAAATGTTCCTTACGCACGTAGTGCTAGCTGTTTGACCCAGGTTCTGAATGAGGTAGGGAGAGTCTTCCTTGGCCTTCATAGGTCAACTGCTTATTAAGCCCTTGTTTCACAGCTGGCATGAACCCAAGTGTTAGTAGTCATAAGATTTTATTTATTTCACTTTAAACAACATAACAGGTTTAGACAAGACTGTCCCATCCATGTGAAATACACTCCATAACAATAACAAACAGCAGCAATTCCTGTCCAATAGAAAATAGGCAGTTACCCAATAATAATAATAATCCCCACCCCTCAGATTCCCCAAAGAAACCCCACTCTCAGAGCACCTTAGCCTTCCCTGGGTGCTAGCCCAAGGAAGACAGGCTTCACAGCGTGACTTGAAGGTCACCACATTTGGGCTATTTTCAACCTGGTAGGGGTGAATTCCACGGTTATCAGATTCTTATCTAATTCTTTTTTGGACCCAGTTGTACTTTTGACCTTCACAACATCCCTTAACAATGAGTTCCAAAGGATGACTGCATTGTGTGAAGAAGTACTTCCTTATGTTTGTTTTAAAACTGCTGCCTGTTAATTTCATTGGGTGCCCCTGCTTCTTATTATGTGAATGGGTAAATAACACTTCCCTATTCACTTTTTCCACACCAGTCATGATATTATAGAGCTCTGTCATACCGCCCCCCCCCCCCCCCCCCCTTACTCCTCTCTTCTGTAAACTGAACAGTCCCAGTCTTTTTAATCTCTCCTCACATGGAAGCTGTTCCATACCCCTCCTCATTGTTGTTGCCCTTCTCCATACCTTTTTCAATTCTAATATATCTTTTTTGAGATGGGGTGACCAGAAATGCACGCAGTATTCAAGGTGTGGGCATACCATGGATTTAGATAGTGGCATTATGATATTTTATGTTTTTTATTGGTCTCTTTGCTAATGGTTCCTAATGTTCTGTTAACTTTTTTACTGCTGCTGCACATTGAGTAGATGTTTTCAGAGAACTATCCACAATGAAGCCAAGATCTTTCTTGAGTGGTAACAGCTAATTTAGACCCCATCACTTTGTGTGTATTTGGGATATTTTTTTCCATTGTGCATTACTTTGCTCTTAGCAACATTGAATTTTATCTGCCATTTTGTTGCTCAGTCATCCAGTTTAGATAGATTCCTTTGTAACTCTTTTCAGTCAGCTTTGGATTTAACTATCCTCAGTAATTTTATATCATCTGCAAATTTTGCCACATCACATACCCTCTTTTCCAGATGATATATGAGTATGTTGGATAGCACAGTTCCCAGCATAGATCCTTGGGTGATCCAGTGTTTGCTTCTCTCCATTGTGAAAACTAATAATTTATTCCTACCCTTTGTTTCCCATCTTTTAACCAATTACTGATACATGAGAGGACCTTCCCTCTTATCCCATGACTTCTTAGGGCTTGTCTACATCATCCGCTGGATCGATTGGCAGCAATTGATCCAGCGGGGGTCAATTTATCGCGTCTAATCTAGACGCAATAAATCGACCACCAAGCACTCGCCCGTCGACTACGGTACTCCACCAGGGTGAGAGGTGCAGGCAGAGTCAACTGGAGAGCGTCAGCCGTCAACTTACTGCAGTGAAGACACTGCAGTAAGTAGATCTAAGTACGTCGACTTCAGCTACGTTATTCACGCTGAAGTTGCGTAACTTAGATCGATTTTCTTTCCTCTCCTCCTCCCCCCCATTGTAGTCCAGGCCAAAGTTTGCTTAAGAGACTTTGGTGAGGGAACTTGTTAAAGGCTTTCTGAAAGTCCATGTACACCAGGGGTCGGCAATGTTTGGCACGCAGCTCGCCAGGGTAAGCACCCTAGCGGGCCGGGCCAGTTTATTTACCTGCTGACGCGGCAGATTCGGCCGATCACGCCCCCCACTGGCCGCGGTTCGCCGTCCCGGGCCAATGGGGGCGGCGGGAAGCCGCGGCCAGCACATCCCTCGCCCACGCCACTTCCCACCGCCCCCATTGGCCCGGGACAGCAAACCGCGGCGAATGGGGGCCGCGATCGGCCGAACCTGCCGCGTCAGCAGGTAAATAAACTGGCCCGGCCTGCTAGGGTTCTTACCCTGGCGTGCCGCGTGCCAAACGTTGCCGACCCCTGATGTACACTAATCAACTGAATCACCCTTGTCCGCATGCTTTGAGCTCCCTCAAATGATTCTAATATTTTGGTTAGCATGATTTCCCTTTACAGAAGCTGTGTTGACTCTTCCCCAACAAATCATGTTCATCTATGTGTCTGATAATTCTGTTCTTTATTTTAGTTTCAAACAATTGGCCTTGTGCTGAAGTTAGGCTTAATGGCATGTAATTGCCAGGATCACCTCTGGAGCTTTTTTTAAAAAATTGGCGTTACATTAGCTATCTTCCAGTCATTTGGTATAGAAGCTGATTTAAGCAATAGGTTACATACCACAGGTATCAGAGAGGTAGCCGTCTTAGTCTGGATCTGTAAAAAGCGACAGAGTCCTGTGTCACCTTATAGATTGTTAGTCTATAAGGTGCCACGGGACTCTTTGTTGCTTTATACCACAGGTAGTAGTTCTGCAATTTCATATTTGAGTTCCTTCAGAACTCTTGGGTGAATACATTCTGGTCCTGGTGACTTATTCCAAAACCTCCTCTATTGACACCTCAGACTAGGACAGTTATGCAGATTTGTCACCTAAAAAAGAATGGCTCAGGTATGGGAATCCCCTTCGTGTTCTCTACAGTGAAGACTGGTGCAAAGAATTGATTTAGCTTCTCTGCAACGGCCTTGTCTTCCTGAAGTGCTGCTTTAGTATCTCGATCGTCCAGTGGCTGCACTGATTTTTCTGTCAGGCTTCCTGCTTCTGCTGCACTTAAAAAAAAAAAAAAAAAAATGCTGTTAGTTTTTGTCTTTTTGGTAGTTGCTCTTCAAATTCTTTCTTGGCCTGCATAATTATATTTTTACACTTGACTTGCCAGAGTTTGTTCCTTTCTGTTTTCAGTAGGATTTGTCTTCCAGTTTTTAAAGGATGCCTCTAACCACCTCTTCTATTCTGCTGTTTAGCCATGGTGACTTTTTTTTTTGGTCCTCTTTCTGTTTTTAGTTTTTTATTTGGGGTATACGTTTAGTTTGAGTCTCTATTCTGGTGTTTTAAATTTCCATGCTGTCTGGAGGCATTTCACTCTTGTGACTGTTACTTTTAATTTCTCTTTAACTAGCTTCCTCATTTTTGTGTAATTCTCCTTTTTTGAAGTTCAAAGAAACCTATCACAGTAGCTTCCCTCCCCCTGCCCCCCTTTACAAGGATGTTAACTTCAATTACATTATGATGGCTGTTACTGAGCAGTTAGGGTGACCAGATGTCCCGATTTTATACGGACAGTCCTGATATTTGGGGCTTTTTTTAAATATGGGCTCCTATTACACCCCAGCCCCTGTCCCGATTTTTCAGACTTGCTATCTGATCACCGTATGAGGAGTTCAAGTATATTCACCTCTTGGACCAGATCCTGTGCTCTACTTAGGACTAAATCAAGAATTACCTCTCCCCTTGAGGGTTCTAGGACTAGCTGCTCCAAGATGCAATCATTAATGGTGTCTAGAGATTTTATCTCTTCATCCACCCCGAGGTGACGTGTTCCCAGTCAATATGGGCATAGTTGAAATCCCCCATTATTATTGGCTTTTCTTTTTATGTAGCCTTTCTAATCTCCCTGAGC